TATATATATATATATATATATATATTATATTTTATCTTTAATATCGACATAATGACAGCTTACGTAAAATTTAATCAAAAATCTTGGCTTTACTTCGACATGATAAAATAAATGTTGAACATTTTTCTACAAACCGGATTAATAATTATCGTTAATATGTAAAATATAAAATGAATCGAGTTTTTCAAAAGAAATCGTATATTTTTTTTGTTAAATATAATTTGAAGTCACACGTTATAAGAATATTACGAAGATAGAAAAGTTTACAGAAAAATGAATAGGAAAGAAAACAGGATCGGCAGGATGTATTATTCGTTCTTTCGATTTATCGTTCGATCTGCCCAGGGCATAATAGAAAAAGTCGTTGGAAAATGGTGAACACGATCGTCTTAAAACTAGAAGTCATTTATCCATGATAGTTAACCACCATAGTCATCGTCATCGTCATCGTCATCAGTCTATCTATCTATCCTTTTTTCTCTGCCTGGTTTTCGCACTGCCACGGGGTTGTTTGAAAGTGCGAGAGAGGGGAAGTTGAATTCCAACGCGTTCGGAGAGCGTGTAATAGGAGAACTTGGTAGAACTGGTTCGTGTTACGACGAGAAAACCAGGGAGCGAAGAAAGAAATAAAGAAAGAAAGAAAGAAAGAAAAAACGAGGGAGGGCAACAAGAACAAAAAAGAGATAGAGATAGATAGATAGACAGAGACAGAGAGAGAGAGAGAGAGAGAGAGAGAGAGAGACCAGGTGGTAGTAGAAGAAAAGTAGTTGAGTGGAATAGTAGTGGGGGAGGAATTCTCTCTAGGAAGAATCTAAGGGCACCCTACTATGCTTCTATATGTATCTGAACACACACACACACACAGACAGAAATATACACGTAAAGGTATACTATCCAATTCCATCTATCCATCTCTGTCTCCCGTTCGATCGAAGTATCGGATTGTCGTTTGAAACTCTCGCGTGACTCTCGAGCAAGTTCGAAGCGCATTAAGGGACGTGATCATACTTATATTATATATATATATATATATATATGTATGTACGTTCGTGTCTGTCCTAAGTATATATACATATATATATTTATATATATATATACTTAGTAGATAGGTGCAAGCAACGATGCGACCACGAGCCTAGAAGAGGGCATAACTCGTTGAAAGCGGACACCTTGTAAGAACTGAGTTTCGAGCACAACCACACACACACACACACACACCGTCGCACTGAATTTACTGGATAAAGCTAGTCAGGTGTATCACCACATATAATATACCCAAAAGTAGTAGGACGTACTGTTAAACACGTAATACTTGTCTCTCTTTCTACGATGTGTGTAAATACTCGCTTTCACGCGATACGCCTTCGGAAAAATACGATCTATTTTCAAGTGAGATTGACTGATTTTACGTTTCAAAAGATTCATCTTGATTATCAATATATATATATATATTCTTTAAATTTTTGTCACCCTGTATTAAATATATACATATATAAATATAAGAACTTTTACAAAGAAACCGACAACGATCGTGGGATGCGTCGTGTCGATAAAGTTTCTATGATGATCGACAAAAATACAGGACGACCTATAAGAGTTTCTTCGTATGTATATACATATATATATATATATATATATATATA